TAAGTAACTGGAGTATTGAAAATAATTGAACTTTAACAAAGGAAATTCTAGATATTCCAGTGAACCTTCAACAAGGGATAATTAAAGATCTCTCTGTTACAATATTCGCAAAATGGTGTTAACTTGTGAGAATCGTTACAAACTTGTTGCATGCAAATTATAAAGAAAATCTAATGACTAGATTTTCTACGAATAAACAAAACCGATTTTAAAGGCCTGTTTATTTTTATTCATGTTGCCATGGCAACGGCACATACATCAGCTTAACCATCAAAACACCAAACTTTGTGTTGTTAACTTCCTTGCTGCCATTTTTAGCGACTGTGAGATCAAGGGTTTTAGAGAAAAAGGTGAATGAAACACAGGTATCAAAAACTGTGTTCAGCCACCTTAACTAATGTAGCTTCCAGTCGCATTCACTTATGCTTGGTAACACTAAATATCATTTTGTTTGATTACTTTCCTCAACATGAATTCTTATACATTGTAATCCCTCAATAAGTCTTTGAAAGGTTAGCGCGTTGTGCCACAAAAGTATCACCTTGAATTAACATAAGTTCACACATTGCGCATGGATACGTGTGGCAAGAAAACAACAATACAGTCTTCATTAACAGAAGTTCTGTGCAACTACATGCGCAATACATCAAATACACTTAGACTTAATAAAAAAGATTTTGAGGGTAATTTATTAAACAACAAGTGCTACAAGTGAATACTAAACAACGCGTGTAATCAAACAAAGATATTTAGACTCGCGCTGTAACTACGCCAAGATCTTGGTCACTTTTTAAGTCCTTTAACTACTGACATGTTAAAAAAAAAGGTTTTTACATGCAATCGATCGAGTCATTGAGCGCAATTACCAATGAGCACATCAACAACATCAGCATGGCGTGGGGGACAGAGAGAGATTAGGGTGAGTGAGAGAGTAACAATTACAAACATATCATCAAGATCGTTTTCATAAATGGCACGAATATAACATCTTTATAATCTTTTACGCATATATACACTTTTATTATATCATTGAGCAAAGTAACTTCTGTATGGAGCGAAGTAACTTTTGTATGGAGCAAAGTGACTTTTAGTTGAGGTGAAGTAACTGGGGGCAAAATGACCAAGGGGCGAAGTGACCGGATACCATCTCAACACAAATGAAAAACTGTGCGTTGATCAGAAAGGAGCTCTGATTGTTTAAATTTAGGGATCCAAGAGTAATAGAAGCAGAACACAGGATATCCTCGAACTACAAGTACATGTAGGGTGGGGAGGGAGGGGTGCAATTGCTTACCTGTTCCAGGCCACCCGTGTCTCCTGTTCTGTTTAAATGATTCGTCAATAGGCTGCGAGGGGAGTTGCTGGAGTCTCGAGCAAACAACAGTATCGCAAATATGGGCACATCCTCTCCTTGACTCATTCTTCTGTGCAGCTGGACAGCAATGTCAAACATCAGGAGCTTTGTTGCTTCAAGTATTTTAAACTCTTCAGTTTCATTGTTGAGCAAGGATAGTGTAGATTCAATTCGCTCTGGTTGACTTGAGCTGTCCCCTATCTTGCGGATCTGTAAGACAACATACGTTTTCCATAAGGTAAAGTCTGTATACGAGCGCTTATCTCCAGTTTCTGTAGCATGAAGTGACTGGGAGTATTTCTACAATGTACATTGCCTGCCTCGGATGGCATATTAGTCCATCACAGGGTTACCCGCCCAGCATTAAACTCGCCGGTACCCATTTATATACCTGGGTGGAGAGAGTCATTCTGACAGTAAAGTGTCATGCCCAAGAACATAACACAATGTCCCGGCCAGGCCCCAAGCCTACATGTAGACCCCTTGATACGGAGGTGAGCACACTAACCATGAGGTCACCGTGCCTCCACAAAAAAGGCTTTTATTCTGTTAGTAGAATTCAAATTGAAATTCAATAGAAAAAAACTCATTAGAAAAATGAAAGTACAGTGTACAGTAAAATCTTTATCGCCAAACAGTAACTGTTAGCACTCCACAGGCTGACAGCTAAATGGAATTTAGTAGGCACCTCAAATTTATCAAAGGTATTACTAAAATCAGCAGTGGAGGAGACAGGAGTACTTGTTTGAAATCAAATATCAGCGACCACATAAACCATTTTTCAATTGAGTGTCAAAAGTAATCAGGCAATTACTTTGGTTTTGGGTTTTGGTTTTACTAAGGTTTGAAAATGGCTGAGTAGTCTAATTGCAAAGCAATTGGTTTGGTTTTGCTTTGATAACACTCAATTGAAAGCCGCTCTATTCAAGTCGCCCTATTCAAACCACTCTATTCAACAGAGCCTGAGAGGCCATACACCCTACAAAATTATGCCCAGATTTAACAATTGAAAACCTGCGATGTTAACAATAAATTTCCAACTAATTATTTATTGAAGCTTGTTTCACACTACAGAAAATAATGATAAATTCGTGACTATTTTTATTGTTTTAATAACACTCGCACACTACATGTTCTTGCAGTTTACTTTAATATAATTTGCAGAGCTGTACTCTAGAAGCGCCCACACGGTTGCCACAGCCGCCAAACTTTTGCCTTTGCACGACTTGAAATCTTTGGTCTTTAGACCACATGGGTTGCATCAGTTGCGGTACACTGTAGTTGTACTGTAATACTACTTATTTTTGTTTACAATTTATTAAACCACATTTACCACAAAATCTGAACACACTTATAACAGTTTTCCTATTCAAAAATTGGCCAGGTTTAACTAATAGCATTAAGATTCTTTTAACCAGTGTTCAAGGAAATATATAAGGTCAGGTGAGAAGAATTTCTATGTTCACATTTGAACCATGGAGTATACAGCAATAGTAAGCCAACCAAGCCAGTTGGCATTTTATCGTATGGCTACATGTACAAGCAGGCACGATGAAGTAAAACCAGCACTTCAATTGGCTACCAAAGTGGAAAAGACCATACTATCTTGCCCACTTGGGACTACCGGCTGTGTCCCGCAAGAAAAATTTCCCCGAAAGTCATATAATAAAAACTTTATTGACCAAGCTTGTTTGGCCAAGATGGCTGAATATTGGCCTCGTTCGTTTTTCCAAGTTAATGGACCTCTACTCAATCTTGGTCCACAAACACACAGTAACAGAAATTGGCTAATATTCAGCCATGTTGACCTCACACTTGGTCAATAACCATATACATGTATATTGTGCAACTAACTCTAGTTCACCAGGGAAAACAAATGTGTGTGCAGATTTTCATACAACAGGACAAACAAGGTACACATCAAAAAGAAAAGAAGTCTTACTTGATTACTGAAGAAAGACAGGAAGTTCTCCAAGGTGGGAATCACTTCAGACTGAGAAACTGGTAATCTGTTAGCAAAGCTCCACATGTCAAGACAAGCAACTCCATTACTTAGCAGCTTGTTGGGAATCTAGAAAGGAGTGTATCAGAAACATCAGTGATGTAGTAAACAAGCGACACTGTTCTGAATGTGCTTTCCAGACCATAAAAAAAAATGATTTTCTAAGATAGAAAAACACCAAATGGTCAAAGAACAAACAAATTGAGACTAAAGAATATTGAGACAAATTAAAAACAACCGACAGGCTGCCAGCTTGAAGACATTGGCCTTTTTTCAAGATGTGACAACCATTACATTTCTCACTAATCGAGCTCAGTCATGAACAGTATTCTGGGTTATTTCGGTCCCATACATGTACAAAATTACCTTTAAATTGAAAAAACCTGAAAATAACAGGATACTACGATAGAACAGCAGTAAAGACATAATAATAAACCGTAAAGGAACAAGGATGGTAAAGGATGGAGAAAATTAACAAATTAACACTTTTCAAGATGCGCAATTAATGTGTCAGTTCATGTTACTACATGTATTCAACATTTCCGTGATATCTGGGTTAGCAAGCGTAAAAAGAAAAAAACAGAAAGGAATAGTAAAGCAAAAAAGACGAAAAATAAAAAGTTACAAAAGAAATCTATATAATTATAGTCTTGAACTTTGTAATGTTGTTATCTTGAACAGCAATTTCCCAATGTATATTGAATTAGAAGAGTGAGAAAACTATCAAAACAAAGCTTTTTTTCTTGCAAGCAGCTACTATATATGGGGTACTTTGCTATAAGAAGTGAGTAATTCAAGGAGTACAGGTGTTCTCTATTGTCGAAAATTCTGTACAGAATCATGCTCTCTGTTAATGTGACATTTTCTTTAGTTTTGCTAGTCCACCATGTTTGGAATAAGTCCCAGAAGGATAAAGTTAATTGACAGCACAAACACATATGATCTAAGGAATGCCTGTCAGCAAGACATTGTGGGAATATGTCATCATCACATATCTTGGCTTTAAAGAGACTGACTTTTGCTGGAAGAGTATTGTGAATAATCCTATATTGAAACAGTGTTGTGTTTATGTCACTTTTTATCTGGAAAGGTCGTTGGTACACTCTGTGAATATTATCTTGAGTAAAACCATATCTAATAATTTTCCTCTCAGCCGTTGGGGGTAAGAAGACTTTTTTTAGCATAGTGGAGTAAACCCTATTGGTGGAAATGTTTGTTGTGTTGTTTTCATTTTCTGCCATGTGCAGAGGAGTCCTTTTTATTGCCAGCTTCCAAGGGGTCGGCACAGAATTAATTAAGCCCAAATAAAGAGTGAAGGGGGTTTCGAGATGAAATTTTTCAGAGAAAAGATTGAAAGGAAGGAAGTTACCGTTATTGTCGAGGGGATCTTCAACCCGTAAAATGTTTTTTTTTTCTAGCCCGCTTTTATAAAAAGGTGCTTTACCATCTATTATTATGTTGTGATTATTCCAAATTATTTCTTTGCCGGGAGAAGTATTCTTTGGAAATGCAGACCTCATGTTTTGCCAATATTTTAAGATGTCACCATAGAAGTCTGGGAGGTTGTTAAATTACAAGAACTTGACATTGTAGCTGCATTGTGAAAGAAATGATATTCCTCCAAGATTTTCAAGCTTCAGGGATGATTTTCCATGATGCATCAGACCTGGTTTGTAAATGTGGTATCCAAGCAACTTTTAATGCTTTATTCATACTGTTAAAATCAATCATCTTCAGTCCGCCTTGTTTTTTCTCTCCTATGATAGTTGACTTTTTTATCTTTGCCGGTTTCCCATCCCAAATAAAGTTAAAAATTAGTTTTTCAATTTCCTTGATAAAATGTTCGGGTATGACAAGAACAGGTAAAGGTAAAAGGTGGTAAAGTTTGCATNTAGTCCATCGCAGGGTTACCCCCAGCATTAAGTTCGCCGGTACCCATTTATACAGCTGGGTGGAGAGAGGAACTGTGAGAGTAAAGTGTCTTGCCCAAGAACACAACACAATGTCCCCCGCCAGGGCTCGAACCCAGACCGCTTGATCCGGAGACGAGCGCACTAACCATGAGGCCATCGCGCCTCCCACAATGACAATGACAAGAACAGACACACTATAAATTAATTTAGAAAGTCTGCATGTTTTAACTATGTTGATTTTTCTGTAAAGTGTGAGATTTCTTTTTTCCAACTATTCAGGGTCTTTTCTAAGTTCTGGATTTTCTCTGCAAAATTTAATTCATTGGTTTTGTTTTCATAAGAAATGAAAATGCCAAGAGCTTTTATTGAATCCCGTGGCCAGCGAAAGCCGAAAGGCGTATTGGTTTTGTTCCTCCACCTGCTGAGCCACATTCCTTCAGTCTTTGTTGTGCTGATTTCCAAACCAGAAAGATTATTAAACTTTTGAAGTGGAGTTAGTAAATTGGCAATGGAATCAAGGTCTCAAACAAAAACAGTGGTGTCATTTGCACATAAAGAGACTTTACTCACTTTCTCACCAACATTAATGCCTTTTATGTTGTTACACAGTGTACATACTTTTTCAAGTTTGCTGTCCTCTTCAGCCCCAAATAGATTCAAGATAGGAAGTCTGCCAGCTAATGCTTGAAAAAGCACAGCTCTTATGGCACAGTAGTTATCACCCCTGATCTGACGGAGATGTTGACAACCAGTGAGTGTCGAGATGGAACCATATCCCTGTGAAAAAATAGGCTATTAGTGTTACATGCAGCTGGAATAGGTTTCTTAACTTTGTTTGTTTGTTTGTTTGCTTGTGTGTCAGCATGCACATAAACAGTTTAAATGTAGAGCTCGATGAAAACTGATGTTCTACAGGAGGACTATTTTTCTTTACAGAGGTAAGGAAAAAGTCTGTGCTGGCCCAGTAGCTCAAACAACTGGATCTTATCCCAGCTTCTGTAACTTGAAGCAACAGGAGTATGTCAACTCCCCTCTGGATGGGTTGTTAATGCACTGGAGGGTTTTCCCCCAGCATAAATTTGCAAGTACCCATTTATACACCTGGGTGGAGAGAGGCACTGTGAGCCAGGAACAGAACGCAGTGACTCTCACTCGGCGCAGGGCTTTAACTGGACTAATGCTCAATACAAAGTCTAGTGAGCTAACCATTAGGTCACTGCACCTCTTTGAAAGGGGAGAAAGGTTCTGTGTAACTCACAAGATGAAGATCATCAACAAGGACCTCGTAACTTGAAGAAAGAAAACACCACAGCAGGGTGCAAAGAAAAAAATTCAACCCCTACCTTCAGGCAAGCTTTAACTACAATGTATTAGACCAAAAATCATTCTGACTAGCCCCCCAAAAAGTTCATCTCTCGCAGTACTTCTGTAATTTGAATTTCATCAAAACGTTTCCCAAGAATTAACAGCTTCACGTTCCCATTAGACAAGTGACAAACAGAATTCATTAGCCTGACTGGAAAATTCACCAGCCCCAGGTTGTCAGACAGGACTTTCTTTGCACACTGTGCAGTAATCCTAAAGTTATAGAATACCGTTCATGTGCATGTCAGTCAGCAAGACCATCTACATGTACCCTATTGTTATTTACTGCATTGAGAAATTCTTTTATCGTACCTTTTTCATTGCAAGTGATGTGGGCGTGTCACTCTTCCATTCCCGCAGAGCATAGTCCTTAATTGCTATTGGCTCCCGTACTGACACAAGAGGCTTCAGAGCCACGTCATCACCCATAACAACACCTTTGACACCAGCATCTTCACTGTCACTCTCGTGGTCTCCATCATAACTCTCGTAGTCTCCATCATCAGTCTCTCGCTTATCGTCTAACCACACTGAGTCGAGCTCTTTAATTGTCAAGGTGCTTTCATCTTCAAAGTTCTCACTGCTAGTGTATCCAGTGTCGTGGTGACTTTGACTTTCCACTAATGTAGAATCCATGTCAATATCACCTACGGGATGACGATTAATGTCATCCGAGTCTGTCTCGCAGATTTCATCATCTGTGCACAAAGAGCCTAGACTGTAGAAACATTGCGGTTTAGGCAAAGTAATGCCACACAACATGCAGTGCACTTCCGTTTTGGAGGCATTAGCCACAATATCATTTGTATCCAGAGATCTGTGTTCACAGGTCGTAGACTCCTCATCACTAGATTTTACAGACTTTTTTCTGCGTGATCGACTCCTAGATCTCTTTGCCAGAATGTCATCTAAACTGTCACTGAAAACATAACCCAATGGACCACAATCACTCTTATTGCTTCCATTATCTGATGATGAATATGTGCATGTCATCTTTTTGGCAGAGCCCACAGAGGTGTCAGGTTTCCCATTGCCACAGTTAGAATTCTCGTATTTCATTTCTTTTACTTCAAATTTCATTGCTTTCTCAATTTTGTCAGCCACTGTTTTTCTCCAACATTCACTAGACCTGGCTTTCTCGACTATTTCACTTGAGTTACAGTAATGACCCCACAGAGGTGGCTTCTGCTCAGAAGGAGATTGAGCCCCTCTCGCTGCTATGGAGCTTGGCCTAAACAGGCTTTCGGGCTGATGCCACATCACTCGTGGATTTTTAGGTTTTTCTTCCAGGTTGGACATAGGAGATAACTGTTTTTTGTCGTCTGATGCAACACATTCTGACAAGTATGAAGCAACCGTATTTGATTCAGGAATTGAAATGGCCAGGGCATGTGTATCTTGATGATTTAGTTTATCACTGTTGTTTCCTTCATCCTCAAATAAAATGTGAGCTTCTGCTCCATCTTCTTCCTTACAACCGCAGCCACTAGCTTCACCCTCACTGCCATGTACACATGAATGATGAGATGTAAAGAGCACTCGTGGTTCTATCTTTTTCTCAGGCGAGGTCTTTCTCATTTTTGATTCTCTGAATTTCTGGCTTGGATGCTGACTGACTGAAGTGATGATGTCACCTAAGAAATTTCTTTCTGGCCACGTTCTGTTTCCAAACAACTTGTCTTGGACATTTGGATCATTCTGAAGTAATGATCTAAAGGACTGTTGATGTCTTTTTGATGAACTTAAAGGCGTTATTACAGGTCTGTTTGTGAATTGCTGCAGAGAAAGCCAAAGCAAACTAAGTCACAACTATCAGACGACATACAACTGACACTGTCTACTGGGTTCAAAACCTGCTTTTAGAGGGTTTAACAGCGACATGTTTTCTCTTAGCCTGTCTATGATGCATGTAGCTGCCCCTCCCCAAAAAGAAAAATTCAGAGAGATGAGTCTGTGTGTTACTGTTATTAATCATGTTCCACCCATATATGACTTTTGCAGGACTGGTTTAATTAAGTGTAATGTTTGTAAATTGTAGAACTCAGCACTTTGCCTTTAATTGGTCGCGCTGACAAAAATTCTGAGAGTTGGCAGTCAAGATCACAATCAAAATTTGTTACACTTTGACAGGAAGATGTAGATTTACAATGTTGAAGTTTAAAAGCCAGAGTAACGGAGGTAGTCAGCATTTGTCTGTCGACAAAATTATTCCACAAGTGGTCTGTTTTGTTAACAGTGAACATTGAAAGGTCATTAACTAGTTATTGTACATGTATGTCATGCAAAGATCATGCGCAGAAGGCAAGTTCCTTTGTTGTGTCCAAGTGTCACATCAGCTTTTATACGCAGACAATTTATGCATGAAATGGGATTATCAGTGGCAACACACAGATGTTCTCTCCGATTTTTTCTTTCAGGAAGGACAGTTGTAGTACAGGCTAGTTTTCTATTTGTCAAATCGTTAAATCAATAAAACACAATAATATACATGGCAAATACAACTTTAGAGTAAAAAATTCTACAGTAAATAAGGAAACTCAAAAGTTTCGTTTTTGCTCTGTGCCAACTGCCGCAAACATTCTTGACCTCTCCAATAATTATCGTCAAAGTGAGCAACAAGGAGTAGTTCATTCATGTGTTAAAACTTCATTGACTTCTCTTTAACTGACAAGTGAATGATTTATTATGTCTAATTTCTAAATCTAGAGACGATCAGTTGCCCAGTATCTTGAGTAATAATGTTATTGTTTGAGAAAAGAGAAGGAGAGAACACAAGAGAGGGTTACTAAGTGTATTATTGTCACAAAGCAAAATAAAAAGATTTGCTCAAAATGAATACAAAGAGAGTAAAACCAGATGACAGACTAAACACTTCATCAAGTCAAATAATATTTACTACCAGAAATTATTAAAACTGCATGGTTTTCATCAAAAACTCTTTCAGTTATCGCCACCACTTGTAGCCTTATTCTCATTTAAACTGCCTAGGAGAAGCTTCAAATATCAGGTATCGACATTCCATATATAGAGGTGTTTAAATGGTAAACGGCAGTCTTATGTAATTGTAGCAGAAATGAGCAGAAAAGAGAAAGCAAAACTGAACAGGAATGTAACTACATGTACTTTTCACTTTATCCAATCCTTGCTACCTAATTCCCAGTCTCCAAGCAATTTATTTACATGCTCCCTTTCTTCTCATTGTATGCAGACTAACATGATAAGAATTGATGTTCTCTTTCTTCATGTACATGTATGTTTTGCTCAAAGCCTGGAACAGGCTAAATCTGACCAATCAGGAACACCATGTTAAAATAAATAGATGAAGATCTTCTCAGGAGAAAATTATTCAGCTTGAATCTCACACAATACAGGGACATTTGCTGTCAAGACAACCTTCCGATTTTGTCAATGTTATAAAATAGAGTGTTTGTTGACAAGCTCTGCCATACTCAAAAGCACTTGTGGATGTTCTGGGGTTTAAGTGGGATTTTACTGTGTACTTATTTGATAACACTTTCAGCAATACTACACTGAAGCTCTTTGAAGAACTTCTCGAAATCATCAAGCAATACACATAACACTGCAGGTGCTTTCTTCAAAATGAAGGAAACACCAAAACAATGCATGTACAATTTACATTGATCAGGAAGATTTCAGAAGACTGGAACAAGATTCGACTACCAATGATGTTTAGACCCCAATTTCTGGGGTCATCTAAGACCACAATGTGATATTATGCTGTATTATTTCATGACCTCTCAAAATCTGTCCATGGATATTGTTTTGAACATAATTACTTTTCTTTCCATCAATCAATTCTTAATACACACATAAAACAGCTTCCTACAAGCAGGATATCAGATCTATATCACACTACAAGCCCACTGGCAATGCAGATCTTTTGTTATCAGAGCTAGCTACGTGCTTTGTTTCTCTATTGTTCTCTTGGGCATCAGAGTAGCTCCAACCAACAGTAGTGGCTAACCGCATTTTGATACCCCACAAAGTGAGTACAATGTTAATTATCTAAAATTTTGAGAGTAATTACATCACATATTAAATATGCTTATACAGTACGGATGGACATCTGTTTTTGAATCACAAATTCCCTGCACAAAATTTTATGCTACTTCTCCAACAGAAAAAAAGTTTAAAAAAGTTCAAAAGGACTGCAAACAATCATGTGGAATTTTGATAAATCAAAATGTTAGCCAGATACTACGAAGAACAGCTGGCCTTGAAGTCAACAAGAAGGATAATCACTGTCAACTTGGGAAATAAGTTGGTGGATTAAGTTAGATTATAATCAATAAAAAGTGACATACATTAATTCAGCAGGTTACAAATTTTGTAACCTGCTGGATTAAAAATATAATAATTTGGAAAGCCACTGATTTAACTTCAGGCTAACTGGATTGAACTTAAAAACATGCATGGATAAATTAGCGTAATAAGGATGTTATTCAGTCATTTTCTCATTTGGGATTTTAGCATGTTCAGTTTCTCTCTATACAATCTATCCTAAATTTTTAATCAACAGAAAAATTCAGAATCATCCCTAATTAGTGCATTCCATGTGAGTATACATGAATAAGTAAGCACAAAAAAGCTTTGTCAAGATTGGTTTCCAACTGTGTTAGTTAAGGTAGGTTTGAAGGATGAAGACCACCTACACAGAAAAAACATTATTTCTAGTGGTTTCAGTAAAGATACTGGAACCATCGGCATATTAAAGCAATTTAGCCACAGGAGAATATCAATAATGAATAGTTTACATATCTTGCCATGTATGTGCTTGTTAAATTATGTTTATTCATGCGGTAAGATTATTTTTTCAGTGGTTAAACATATGTCAAAACAATGAAAAAGATGTTGCCTGAGCAAACAGACAATTCTGACAAGGCCAAGAATAAATTACATGTATTGATTGGATCTGTGTCGAACACTAAAACTGAAAAAAAAATGTCAACAAAAATTAGCAGTAATTTTATGTAGAATCAAATGGAAAAATATTGATATGCAAACTGATATTTCTCATATGGATATAACAAGAGAAATTGATTGACTTCTTCTCTGTGCTACTATTAAATTATTCCTTCTAATCTTCACGTGTAAGTGTGGACAAAACCAGAATTGTTACTAACAATAAAACGAAGGGATGAAAATCGACATTATCATATTATTTAAATTCAATTGATATACGGGAATTTTTTAAAATATATATTTACACCTTCACGCCATCAAAAGCTGTTGAGTCATGCATTCTCACCAAGTTTATTGAAGTCAGAAAGTTTTGTTTAAAATTAACCACGCTGTTTTGAAAAGACTTGGGACAATTTATTAAAATAAACACTGCAAATAAATTACGCTTCAGTTAACTTTAATAATTTCATTGTCAATGTTTAGAAAGCACTCGGCAGGTGATCGTAGAAAATTTACAGTTGGTGCCAAAAATGAGACGAAAACCGAACAATGACAGATCCATTGTTTCGAAAGGGTAAACGGCCCACACACACAAAAATGCCCAAATTGCACTTATACTTTGTGCTCGGGTTTGTGGTTAAACATTCTGTACTTCATGAATCGATTCGCGCGCAATCTATTTTTAAGCATGCAGTTACACGCCGACAAGAAATGCTAATTCAAGAAACCGCAAAACGGATATTTGAACTTTCTTTGAATTTCTTCGACAAAATAATCGCAAATGAAAACACGTCTACTACATTGTAAGAGCAAGGAGATCAAAATATCTCATTTCCTCCAAACGAGATATGATCTAGATTACCTAATCTTAACATAAAAATAAGCTTCATTACCCTTCCATGTACGTTGGTCGGCAAACTACACGCATATTTACATCAAGGACACGATCTTTGTTTGCTTGTAACTTCATAAACAAGAAAGCCTTAAAAAACTTGGAGTAGTTCCTCTTTTTGGTACAGTAGGATAAAAATTTTAGACTGGTTTCGTTCGATGAGCGACTCAACAATATTCCTGACTTGTTCACCTATGTTGATTTTTGACGCCATGATTTTGATAAAAGCACTTGAAATCTAAATGCAACTCATGCTTTCAACGGTTCGATGGTCCTTCGAAAGAGAAACTGCGTCATTTGAAATAATAATAATGTTATAATGAAAACTCACCAGATTTCCAAACAACAGACTTGTCCTCGGTGACAGCGAGTCCCGTTTTCTTTTGATAAATGGTCGTTGCCGCTCTTTTTGTTTTCTATACTGGTGCTTTCGCCTGTACGCCCGAACGAGTAAGCAAAAACACACCACACAGAGAAGGAACGAAACTATATACACCAGCAAAGCATGGACATCTGTAAAAACAACATGAAATACGANGTACCTTTTTCATTGCAAGTGATGTGGGCGTGTCACTCTTCCATTCCCGCAGAGCATAGTCCTTAATTGCTATTGGCTCCCGTACTGACACAAGAGGCTTCAGAGCCACGTCATCACCCATAACAACACCTTTGACACCAGCATCTTCACTGTCACTCTCGTGGTCTCCATCATAACTCTCGTAGTCTCCATCATCAGTCTCTCGCTTATCGTCTAACCACACTGAGTCGAGCTCTTTAATTGTCAAGGTGCTTTCATCTTCAAAGTTCTCACTGCTAGTGTATCCAGTGTCGTGGTGACTTTGACTTTCCACTAATGTAGAATCCATGTCAATATCACCTACGGGATGACGATTAATGTCATCCGAGTCTGTCTCGCAGATTTCATCATCTGTGCACAAAGAGCCTAGACTGTAGAAACATTGCGGTTTAGGCAAAGTAATGCCACACAACATGCAGTGCACTTCCGTTTTGGAGGCATTAGCCACAATATCATTTGTATCCAGAGATCTGTGTTCACAGGTCGTAGACTCCTCATCACTAGATTTTACAGACTTTTTTCTGCGTGATCGACTCCTAGATCTCTTTGCCAGAATGTCATCTAAACTGTCACTGAAAACATAACCCAATGGACCACAATCACTCTTATTGCTTCCATTATCTGATGATGAATATGTGCATGTCATCTTTTTGGCAGAGCCCACAGAGGTGTCAGGTTTCCCATTGCCACAGTTAGAATTCTCGTATTTCATTTCTTTTACTTCAAATTTCATTGCTTTCTCAATTTTGTCAGCCACTGTTTTTCTCCAACATTCACTAGACCTGGCTTTCTCGACTATTTCACTTGAGTTACAGTAATGACCCCACAGAGGTGGCTTCTGCTCAGAAGGAGATTGAGCCCCTCTCGCTGCTATGGAGCTTGGCCTAAACAGGCTTTCGGGCTGATGCCACATCACTCGTGGATTTTTAGGTTTTTCTTCCAGGTTGGACATAGGAGATAACTGTTTTTTGTCGTCTGATGCAACACATTCTGACAAGTATGAAGCAACCGTATTTGATTCAGGAATTGAAATGGCCAGGGCATGTGTATCTTGATGATTTAGTTTATCACTGTTGTTTCCTTCATCCTCAAATAAAATGTGAGCTTCTGCTCCATCTTCTTCCTTACAACCGCAGCCACTAGCTTCACCCTCACTGCCATGTACACATGAATGATGAGATGTAAAGAGCACTCGTGGTTCTATCTTTTTCTCAGGCGAGGTCTTTCTCATTTTTGATTCTCTGAATTTCTGGCTTGGATGCTGACTGACTGAAGTGATGATGTCACCTAAGAAATTTCTTTCTGGCCACGTTCTGTTTCCAAACAACTTGTCTTGGACATTTGGATCATTCTGAAGTAATGATCTAAAGGACTGTTGATGTCTTTTTGATGAACTTAAAGGCGTTATTACAGGTCTGTTTGTGAATTGCTGCAGAGAAAGCCAAAGCAAACTAAGTCACAACTATCAGACGACATACAACTGACACTGTCTACTGGGTTCAAAACCTGCTTTTAGAGGGTTTAACAGCGACATGTTTTCTCTTAGCCTGTCTATGATGCATGTAGCTGCCCCTCCCCAAAAAGAAAAATTCAGAGAGATGAGTCTGTGTGTTACTGTTATTAATCATGTTCCACCCATATATGACTTTTGCAGGACTGGTTTAATTAAGTGTAATGTTTGTAAATTGTAGAACTCAGCACTTTGCCTTTAATTGGTCGCGCTGACAAAAATTCTGAGAGTTGGCAGTCAAGATCACAATCAAAATTTGTTACACTTTGACAGGAAGATGTAGATTTACAATGTTGAAGTTTAAAAGCCAGAGTAACGGAGGTAGTCAGCATTTGTCTGTCGACAAAATTATTCCACAAGTGGTCTGTTTTGTTAACAGTGAACATTGAAAGGTCATTAACTAGTTATTGTACATGTATGTCATGCAAAGATCATGCGCAGAAGGCAAGTTCCTTTGTTGTGTCCAAGTGTCACATCAGCTTTTATACGCAGACAATTTATGCATGAAATGGGATTATCAGTGGCAACACACAGATGTTCTCTCCGATTTTTTCTTTCAGGAAGGACAGTTGTAGTACAGGCTAGTTTTCTATTTGTCAAATCGTTAAATCAATAAAACACAATAATATACATGGCAAATACAACTTTAGAGTAAAAAATTCTACAGTAAATAAGGAAACTCAAAAGTTTCGTTTTTGCTCTGTGCCAACTGCCGCAAACATTCTTGACCTCTCCAATAATTATCGTCAAAGTGAGCAACAAGGAGTAGTTCATTCATGTGTTAAAACTTCATTGACTTCTCTTTAACTGACAAGTGAATGATTTATTATGTCTAATTTCTAAATCTAGAGACGATCAGTTGCCCAGTATCTTGAGTAATAATGTTATTGTTTGAGAAAAGAGAAGGAGAGAACACAAGAGAGGGTTACTAAGTGTATTATTGTCACAAAGCAAAATAAAAAGATTTGCTCAAAATGAATACAAAGAGAGTAAAACCAGATGACAGACTAAACACTTCATCAAGTCAAATAATATTTACTACCAGAAATTATTAAAACTGCATGGTTTTCATCAAAAACTCTTTCAGTTATCGCCACCACTTGTAGCCTTATTCTCATTTAAACTGCCTAGGAGAAGCTTCAAATATCAGGTATCGACATTCCATATATAGAGGTGTTTAAATGGTAAACGGCAGTCTTATGTAATTGTAGCAGAAATGAGCAGAAAAGAGAAAGCAAAACTGAACAGGAATGTAACTACATGTACTTTTCACTTTATCCAATCCTTGCTACCTAATTCCCAGTCTCCAAGCAATTTATTTACATGCTCCCTTTCTTCTCATTGTATGCAGACTAACATGATAAGAATTGATGTTCTCTTTCTTCATGTACATGTATGTTTTGCTCAAAGCCTGGAACAGGCTAAATCTGACCAATCAGGAACACCATGTTAAAATAAATAGATGAAGATCTTCTCAGGAGAAAATTATTCAGCTTGAATCTCACACAATACAGGGACATTTGCTGTCAAGACAACCTTCCGATTTTGTCAATGTTATAAAATAGAGTGTTTGTTGACAAGCTCTGCCATACTCAAAAGCACTTGTGGATGTTCTGGGGTTTAAGTGGGATTTTACTGTGTACTTATTTGATAACACTTTCAGCAATACTACACTGAAGCTCTTTGAAGAACTTCTCGAAATCATCAAGCAATACACATAACACTGCAGGTGCTTTCTTCAAAATGAAGGAAACACCAAAACAATGCATGTACAATTTACATTGATCAGGAAGATTTCAGAAGACTGGAACAAGATTCGACTACCAATGATGTTTAGACCCCAATTTCTGGGGTCATCTAAGACCACAATGTGATATTATGCTGTATTATTTCATGACCTCTCAAAATCTGTCCATGGATATTGTTTTGAACATAATTACTTTTCTTTCCATCAATCAATTCTTAATACACACATAAAACAGCTTCCTACAAGCAGGATATCAGATCTATATCACACTACAAGCCCACTGGCAATGCAGATCTTTTGTTATCAGAGCTAGCTACGTGCTTTGTTTCTCTATTGTTCTCTTGGGCATCAGAGTAGCTCCAACCAACAGTAGTGGCTAACCGCATTTTGATACCCCACAAAGTGAGTACAATGTTAATTATCTAAAATTTTGAGAGTAATTACATCACATATTAAATATGCTTATACAGTACGGATGGACATCTGTTTTTGAATCACAAATTCCCTGCACAAAATTTTATGCTACTTCTCCAACAGAAAAAAAGTTTAAAAAAGTTCAAAAGGACTGCAAACAATCATGTGGAATTTTGATAAATCAAAATGTTAGCCAGATACTACGAAGAACAGCTGGCCTTGAAGTCAACAAGAAGGATAATCACTGTCAACTTGGGAAATAAGTTGGTGGATTAAGTTAGATTATAATCAATAAAAAGTGACATACATTAATTCAGCAGGTTACAAATTTTGTAACCTGCTGGATTAAAAATATAATAATTTGGAAAGCCACTGATTTAACTTCAGGCTAACTGGATTGAACTTAAAAACATGCATGGATAAATTAGCGTAATAAGGATGTTATTCAGTCATTTTCTCATTTGGGATTTTAGCATGTTCAGTTTCTCTCTATACAATCTATCCTAAATTTTTAATCAACAGAAAAATTCAGAATCATCCCTAATTAGTGCATTCCATGTGAGTATACATGAATAAGTAAGCACAAAAAAGCTTTGTCAAGATTGGTTTCCAACTGTGTTAGTTAAGGTAGGTTTGAAGGATGAAGACCACCTACACAGAAAAAACATTATTTCTAGTGGTTTCAGTAAAGATACTGGAACCATCGGCATATTAAAGCAATTTAGCCACAGGAGAATATCAATAATGAATAGTTTACATATCTTGCCATGTATGTGCTTGTTAAATTATGTTTATTCATGCGGTAAGATTATTTTTTCAGTGGTTAAACATATGTCAAAACAATGAAAAAGATGTTGCCTGAGCAAACAGACAATTCTGACAAGGCCAAGAATAAATTACATGTATTGATTGGATCTGTGTCGAACACTAAAACTGAAAAAAAAATGTCAACAAAAATTAGCAGTAATTTTATGAAGAATCAAATGGAAAAATATTGATATGCAAACTGATATTTCTCATATGGATATAACAAGAGAAATTGATTGACTTCTTCTCTGTGCTACTATTAAATTATTCCTTCTAATCTTCACGTGTAAGTGTGGACAAAACCAGAATTGTTACTAACAATAAAACGAAGGGATGAAAATCGACATTATCATATTATTTAAATTCAATTGATATACGGGAATTTTTTAAAATATATATTTACACCTTCACGCTATCAAAAGCTGTTGAGTCATGCATTCTCACCAAGTTTATTGAAGTCAGAAAGTTTTGTTTAAAATTAACCACGCTGTTTTGAAAAGACTTGGGACAATTTATTAAAATAAACACTGCAAATAAATTACGCTTCAGTTAACTTTAATAATTTCATTGTCAATGTTTAGAAAGCACTCGGCAGGTGATCGTAGAAAATTTACAGTTGGTGCCAAAAATGAGACGAAAACCGAACAATGACAGATCCATTGTTTCGAAAGGGTAAACGGCCCACACACACAAAAATGCCCAAATTGCACTTATACTTTGTGCTCGGGTTTGTGGTTAAACATTCTGTACTTCATGAATCGATTCGCGCGCAATCTATTTTTAAGCATGCAGTTACACGCCGACAAGAAATGCTAATTCAAGAAACCGCAAAACGGATATTTGAACTTTCTTTGAATTTCTTCGACAAAATAATCGCAAATGAAAACACGTCTACTACATTGTAAGAGCAAGGAGATCAAAATATCTCATTTCCTCCAAACGAGATATGATCTAGATTACCTAATCTTAACATAAAAATAAGCTTCATTACCCTTCCATGTACGTTGGTCGGCAAACTACACGCATATTTACATCAAGGACACGATCTTTGTTTGCTTGTAACTTCATAAACAAGAAAGCCTTAAAAAACTTGGAGTAGTTCCTCTTTTTGGTACAGTAGGATAAAAATTTTAGACTGGTTTCGTTCGATGAGCGACTCAACAATATTCCTGACTTGTTCACCTATGTTGATTTTTGACGCCATGATTTTGATAAAAGCACTTGAAATCTAAATGCAACTCATGCTTTCAACGGTTCGATGGTCCTTCGAAAGAGAAACTGCGTCATTTGAAATAATAATAATGTTATAATGAAAACTCACCAGATTTCCAAACAACAGACTTGTCCTCGGTGACAGCGAGTCCCGTTTTCTTTTGATAAATGGTCGTTGCCGCTCTTTTTGTTTTCTATACTGGTGCTTTCGCCTGTACGCCCGAACGAGTAAGCAAAAACACACCACACAGAGAAGGAACGAAACTATATACACCAGCAAAGCATGGACATCTGTAAAAACAACATGAAATACGAAAAAACTTCAGTCAAATGGACAGTGTACACACGTGAAGCAGCGTTCTTGAAGGCGGCCCGCCGAATCTTTGAAAGAGATCCCGAAAGGTTCAATAGCAGGTGGTGGAAAATTTGTCAGTTTCTTTCCACTTCGGTGCAAAAAATCAAATCCACTAGTTTAAACAGTCCCGAAAACTTACCGGCATCTACAGTTCTCGTGAGACTCATTGCAAATCACAAGACCACCCGAAATGAATCAAAGCTTGATGAAAGTGACGATTCGTGGGACGTGTGCGTGAACAAAGACCCGGACAATTTAGAGCAGTGAACAGGGGAGGGGTGGGGTAAGGTCAATCAAAAAAATATATATATATTCCCCGAAGGAAAAATAGCAGCAAACAACACTTTAACAGTGTCTACATCAACGTAACTATATTTCTTGCAGAGCACAAAAATCCCTGCAAAGCTTGATTGGCCTAAGGAAAGAACTCACACACAAAAGACTTCTTATCACCTCCCCGTCAGGATAATTGTACTGAAAGGAAATAACGGGTTGTCATTGTCACGCATGGCATACGTGTCACGCTTAGACTGACTTCCGTCACTTCCTCTCACTTCCCTCCTATTTTGTTTCGTATTTCTTCGATCAATGGCGAATGCTTCAAAATTCAAAAGTGAAGAAAAACCCATCTCAAACGTTAATGGAGTACATATTGAGCATGACAGGTGTAAATCAACCCGCGGCGTTTATGCAAAATAACTTTCGTTTTACCCTGTTGACGCCAACGGAAGTACGTATAAAACATCGTTAAACAGTTCTTGGGGCTATTTTGAGAAGTTACTCCGGAAATCTTTTCCTTTTACACTTACATACAGAGCCTATTATTTAACTGATACCTGATCCTCTGTGAAAACAATAATCAAAGAGGCTACCAAGAATGTATATCGACACAGGTATCAAGACCCTCAAGAGTGTTTTGGGATTTGCTTGTGCGTATTTCTGAGCCGTGTGCATCGATCGTAGTCTCTCATTGTTTTTTGTTTTCGTTTTGCGTATTCAGAAACGACTCGTTGCAAATAGTTTGTTCAAATGAAACACGAGAGCATTTCGAGCTTATGCAAGCAGTTTATACGACAAACAATGTCGCACGCTATGAAATCGTTCGTCAACAAACGCCCGCGGGTAAGCCAATCATTAATATCTATAATATAACGTATGGAATACAGGTTGTTCGATTACACTATTAGAATTACACAGCCCAGTAACTATCTTACCCATTCATAGCCAGTCCTCACATTCCTCAAATCTACTGAAGAATAGTTGAAAATGGCCACCTCGTGTCGTGCGCGTTTCAACTTTAGCCTGCGATCCAATGGACCAGCGACGCGCAGCTGTTCCGCCTGACTGTGCGACAATTGACACACAATCGCGACAATTATTGGGACGACAGAAAATTATTCCCGAGGCCACAATGCAAAAAGAGCTCTTTCGTTTGTGCTGGAACCCTTTTACTCAACTATAAAGGTCGACAAACAACACAATTAAATTTTATGTGACCAATCAGCTCTCCAGTGCCATTAATAGTCTATGGCTGTACAATTCATGCTTTTGGGCTTTATAACAAAGCTAAAAGGAATCTTTTTTTCTGGCAATTACAGTTTGTGGTATACGACCGCCATATTGATGTACCTTACAAGAACCGTAAACACAGATTATGGTCTCATGGCAAATTAGGTCCACATCGATATCAGGGTTAACTGTCGTCTGCTGTGAACCATTAACTATTTTGAACCGCGTTAAAAAAAAAAGTCGTTTCTTTTTCGAGAAACTTCCTGTATCGAGCCGACCCAAATTTATCCCCAAGGAGGGGGGGGAGGGGCACTAGTGATTGTGCCAGTTTTAAAGAAAATGCGAAAAGAACATCTTTGTTGGTGTTGTTAGGTGCAGAATTTTTGAAAATGTCACAAGGGTTAAGAATGGTTTTTCAGCAGCCTTACTTTCTCCGCAGCCTATGACCATGACTAAAAAATCACTGAATAGTACTGACTCCAAAAGTTGTTACGTCAGCAAGGAACAGAAATGACCTGTTGCTTAGCAACTTCTGTGACGTAAACTCTGTTCGAGACTTGCTGAATTATGGGTAGGACAGGAGTAAGACAAAGTTATCAGTGCCGAAAACTCTATTTATTTATTTATTCATTTCTATTTTATTCTTTTTTTGATAGAGCGGTTTTCAATTGAGCGTCGAAAGTAATCAGGCAATTACTTTGGTTTTGGTATTGGTTTAACAACCTTTTGAGATTGGCTGAGTAGTCTAATTGGTAAGTAATTGGTTTGGCGTTGGTTTTACGACACTCAATTGAAAACCGCTCTGTGAGTGAGGACGTGTAATTTAGAACAGAACAGAACAAACGAGGCAAAAAGTTCAAAAAACTGCACTATTTCATGTTAAAAGTTTTATCTAAAGCTAAAAACCATACGTCCAAGCGCAGAGTCTATTCTAAACGTAATAGCGTTTCCTGCACAGTTTAATTTAAACACGCAGACGTACAAATATTAAAGAAAAAGACATGACAAAGAATTTAAGTAGTCTCTCATTTCTTTCTTCCTCCACGTTCTTTGAGCTGAAGCTGCACCACACTGGAAGGAGTAACGTTGTAATAAGCCAGCGAGTTGGAATCTTTGATAAAGATGCCCTGCAAAAAAACACAAAAGAGAAGAGATGAAGAAGGCAACCCAAACCTTTTCCAAAATTTTAACACCTCGTAGCATTGTAGATAGGAGAAAAAAAACAGGAAAACTGCGGATTCACACATCTTCCCTGCTGAACAATGACATGCTTTTTATCTGACTATTTTTCACAGCCACAACGATCAACATTGATATTCTTCTGGCAAAATGAAAACATTACCAAGCAGAGTAATAATGAGAATAACGGAAACCATCAATCAGAGGATTTTGTTTTAACTCGACAATCTACTTACAGAAAAAAACGTTTCGGACAAACGGGTTCGAAAGTTGAGCAAAGTTTTACAAATACATTCAACAAGATTCCAACGAGTTGCGTTTGCGGTGGGTGGCTAAACGAGGCCCCAAGTTGCAAAAAGACGCCATTTTAATATTTCCGGCGCGATTAGTCCCACTCGTGAGGCTATGCTAGAGGAAACAAAAAAATCAACTTGTTTCGTCTTCTCTTGGGTGGCAAAACGGCGAAAAGTCGATTTGCGCATGGATGGGAACTCTATCAAAGCGCACGCAAGTTAACCAAATGCGCGAAAAACGGGATCGTAGTTAAACTGCACTGACTTATGTTAATCAACTTCTTTGAGCGTGAAGAGAGAAGCACAACGTAGAGTCACTGACGACGGTATTCCGTGTGGGAGCGACAGTCTCAATCAACTATTATAGGTACTCTAGGTCTTTGTCTTCGCGTTCTCAAAGCTAAAACAATATTTGTATAAAGGGGCATTAATTCTAGTCTAGACTGAAGCCGATTTTCCGTCCAACGGATCCCTTATAATACGGATAGCAATCGGAAAACGGATTTTGACGGATAAACAGGATAATCCACGACAAAGGAATCAAATGGAATCAGGGGGTCTGGGGATAAGTCTCACAATCCACTCAGACCAAGCACATAAACTTCCTCTTCATCGAAACAAAGAAAATTTGTCCTCCTACCACGACTATTATATTTAGAGACAGACAGTCCGGCTCGAGCAAATTAAAAAGTTCTCTTCTCTGTGTTTGTACATTCTCGTCTTTTTTCGGCTTAAGAATTTGTCTGAAATGCTCGTAACACGACAGCGCCAAAATGACTTTCCAACACGCAAGGTTATGTAAGAAGGAAAGGAACCTTATGATGACTCAGCCTCCTGCACAGGCGTTCTTTGGGATGTCTCTCCCACGTTCTTGGGGAAGAAGACTTGAGATGAGCCTAAAGAGCGTCATCGTGGGAGGTTAACGATGACTGAAAGTCGGGAAGATTCCTAGTCCGGTTGCTCAGACAAAAGATAACACTCTGTTATTGACTGGATCCGTGTTAGCAAACGTACAGTGTGAATAAACATCAATGCACAAGATAGTGATTTGTGCAAAAGAGTGCGCCATCCATCTTTGGCACAATCACGCTCTGGGGAGCTACTTCCTCGCAAAGGAGACTGAGACTAAGAACGATTTAAATAGATTTTAGTAGAAACTGAGATTTTAAAACTTATATGCAGGTATTTTAAATTAGCAAATCCAGCTGAATCCAAACGGCCATGTGGAACCGTGTTCAGAGTATTGAAAACCTCCCGAGCTTGTTTTCTCGTTTCTTTCAGCAACATGATCAGCTCCGATCCTGGACTTATGATCACCTCTCCAAGTTTTTAATACAATAAATTGATAGAGTAATGTATAGATGTCACTGATCATCTCCAGAAAACTTCTTGGACCTAAAACCAGATTCTCCCAAAGAGGAACATAGACAATGTATGCGATTTCAACAGTGTGGAGATTTTTAATGCTGATCACAGTAACAGTGCTTACCCCAAGCTGCAGTTTTTGTTTCCCAGCTGGCATCCCAGTAATCTCGTGAAGCTTTGCCTTGATCACAGAAACCTACCAGACAAACAAATTACATCAACAGGTTAACATTCACGGTTCTTCGCCAGAATTTACAAAATAGATTTTCAGTTCCTCCTAGAATCAACAGGTTTTCTCAAGCAGACGTTTGGTAGTTAATTTCCAATTATGTCGAAACTACTTGTAGTGCGGAGTTGCATTGTACTCACAAGTTAGTCACCAGCCTCTCTTTTTCCCACCCTAGGAAAGAGGTTGGTTGGTCACGTGTTTTTTCCCGCGCTGGGCGCCGGCTTCGTGCGTTTGCTTTAAGTTCTCTTTGGCTAGTTGTCTTACTTGCGTATTGACCACTGCTGCTGCTTCGGTTTAGGTTTTACGACAATCAAATGGATGCTGCTTCAAAAAAAGATCTGTCATTTTGATACGACATTTCGCGCGGAGACAATTTGATTTCAGCCGATCACATGTTTGAGTTACATGGAGGCACGCTTGTCACCAGTCTCCCACTCACCTGATCTGTAAGCGGTAAAGTAAGACGGATAGTATTGCCATCCAGTTTCCACTCGGCCTTGTCTGGCATGAGAGGAATCTGAACACCAAATGTGACTGGGTTGGGGTTGGATGCGAGGAACTCGTCTTCAGGAATAAGATTCGCTTCAGCCGGCTCAGTCCTCGACTTCTTGCCAACCGAATCGTCTCCATCTGCCTCCCGCTTACTTGACATGGGAGGAGCCACCGGGGGACTAGGATTAACAAACGGCGGAGGCGGCATCCGTGGGAGCCCGCCAGGGGGCGGCGGAGGCGGAATACCTAGGGATAGACGCGTAAAGAATTGAGTTTTTAGTATCTTGTTTGTTTGACATGAGACACATCCGAGCCGGTACACGTAACCATCCCTCCAGTTGTGGTTACGGGCACTGGCCAATTGTCGAAGTGGCACAGAATGCTGATTGGGGGAGGGTAACACGAAAAGAATACAAGAAGCATCTTATTCAGACCAAGAGTAATCGGTTTTTGTTCCTGGAATCCTCCACGCACGAGACTGTTTTAAGGTTATGCAATTTAGGGAAAGAATTAAATAGGAGGAGGAAAAAAAACATCTCATTTAGTGGGTGGGCGATACAGCCACTCGATTAGTGCGACAGAAAACGGAGTAAAAGGTCACTAAATACTAATCATATAAAACGACATGAGAAAAAAACAGAAAACTGGAATTGTTTTACTCCAAAAAATATCGACTACAAAGATAACGATAAACCAAAAGGAATTAAAGAAGGCATAGATTGAGGAAGTTTTAGCATATCCCGGTTTTTTTCCAAAATTCGCCATCAGAACGTAGATTAGCTGTGCACTATCTTCATGGGACCTACAGCTGTAATGTTCTAATGCCTTGTACATGTAAAGGCTACCAGGTTGCTTTTCTGGAGCTTGAACAGAAATGAATGCTTACCCAAAAATTGTGGCGGTCCACCAGGCGGGAGCATGGGGGGAGGTGGTGGTAAGTTCATCATGGTCGACAGAGGGGGTGGAGGTGGTACATGCGTTGTGGACATCGAGGTCATGGAGGGAGGGGGCGGGATGGCCGTTGTTGGTGGTCGCTGTGTTTCAGGTTTCTCTTCCTGTGGAACTTTTGGTCCGATTCGTTCTCTCTCTTCCGAAGGCCTGGGAAAAACAGACAAAAGTCAGGTCTTGTCTTGCGTCACTCACTGGTTACGTACTTACTTACTGTACTTGCTGGTTGCGTTACTCACTGGTTGTGCAACGTGGCTGGGTATTAATGAACACAACAGCGGCACATTACTTACGTGAGTCCCTTAGACTTGTGTATGGCCTCGATCTGTTGTTCCAGTGTCACGCCTTGCTGAGCCAAGCGTGACGTGGCAGCCATGGACGCAGTGTGACCATCCCACGTGACCTTCTCTGGTTTGCGGGTGTCTTCTTCACCGATCTTTTTACCGATCACTGTTTCTTCGTCTCCAGCTCCGAAGATATCCGTACGGCGCTCTGCCAACTGCTTCAGACTGCTACCAATGGACATGCCTAAAGAAGACGTAATGAGTTATGGTTCAGATCTCAGACTCCTCTCTAAAGTCATTTACAGTGCACGCACCGTACCATTGCCACCAGTTTTTGAAGAAATTTTGACATATTTTTGACAACTCCTTGCAGGTTTCTATTTGAACCGGGTAATTAACACCTGGGAACCGTCTTGGGCGGAGATGTTGAATTGTCAAATTCATCATTCACTCTCATGGGAATTTCAAAATTCTCAACCTGTGAACGTTCGAAACCAGTGGCAAGTTGTCGCAGTTTGATTGGCTAATTGAAACGGAAGCCATCAGAAGTTATCAAAATGATGTCAAAGAAATAAGAAAACACTTTCCTTTGGCTACCTAGCTCTATAGACTTCAAGGAATTCGAAACTGTTTCAATTTACCTTCAGCAAACACTTGTTCTTGTTCTTTCTTCTCCTGTAACACTCGATCTCGCTGTTCTCTCCATCGTGGATCCAACAGACTGATCTTCATGTGTTCAGCCATGTTTTCAGCAGGCACTCGCTCACCAGTGATTGGTGAGATCAGGAACTTATCAGGTTGGACTTGAGGTGCAGCTGCTTTAGGAGCCTTGGGATCATACCCTCGTCGGATCTGAATATTGGCGCCAGGGGCTGTGGGAGGTAGGGGCGGTTTGGGGCCAGGCTCAGAGGGTATTGGTGGAAGAGGAATCTCATTTGAGTCAGCGCTCTTCTGCAAGATGAAAAGTATGGATACATTACAAAATAGTTCAAAAAATAATTTCACTTCCAGACTCAAAAAACAGCAATAACAAAACAACACCAAAAAATTTTACATCCCTTATTCCTTTTTTACATCTTAACTGTTGAGAGTAGACGTTTTTCAACAATTCATAGAGCTCTACACCTAATGTGAGAAGTGAATGATCCACACTGCACTAGTTAAATCACTAAGCTTCTACAAACTACACTTGACTTACCGCACTTGGATCCTTAGGGGGAGGGGGAGGGGGTGGAGGTTGCAGGACGGGTGGTTCTGGTTCATCGACTTCCATCTCCACATCCATGTTGACTTCCATATCATCAGGAGCAGCTCCTTCGTCCTACGAAACAAATACAAACAACTGACTTGATGACTTGTTTAAATTTTCAATGAGCCAGGTCTTTGAAAAAGAACAGATTTCCAAATTTCCAAATCAAACACCCCGTCTTTCGCAAAGGCTTTGCTTAAGCTTCATTTTGGTTGTTTGTTTGTTATTTCATTTGTGGAAGTTCAGGAATTCAATATACAATCTTGCAATTTTTCCACACAACAGTCCTGTGATTGCTCTAAAAAAGGGTGGGAGACACGATGACCCGGTGGTTACTGCGAAGGATTCCCATGGCAAAGGTACCTTCCTTTCACGTAGGTGTGTAAGTGGGTACCCTTAAAAACTAAAAGTGTGGGGTGACCCCTGTAGTGGACTAGCATCCCAGGGTGAATAGAGATACTACTATTCACTTCATGCTACAGAAACCAGAGATAAGCTTTGGTTCACTTTTCTGTACATCGGAAGTGAATATTACATCAACAAAAATCCTCCTGGTGCACAAAGTACGAACAGGTGAAAGAACACTGCAGGCTGTACTCATGTCTTGACAGATTTTACCATAACGCTAAATAATGTCTTTGACATACCTGAAGTTGTTCATATCGTTCCTGAGCCAATATCCTGGCTCCAAGCTGTTCTCTACTTACTGGGGGAGGTAAGTTAGCTGAAGAAAATGAAAACAAAAACACAATAAAAATGCTGCCAGAAAACAACATGGGCATGGATGGTTGAGAAGGAAGGGAACAATGCCAGGTGAGGGAACTGGAGTGTAGCCAAGCAACAGCAAAGAGGGTAGGTTGCTCAACACATGTGACACCATTTTGCACTATCTGGCACACAGAGAATTAGGGAAGTAAACTCTTTTCTTGACATCCAAAAGCTACTGTAAATAAAAGACCTGATTGTAACTACATGTTATAAGCTGAAACACAACATGTCAATGTACATGTATGCTGGCCACTGAGATGCATTGTCATTCATGCTGAGTCATGCAGCGTACCTCAAGTAATTGTAAAAATTCTGTTTTTTGACTCCAGACAAAACCCTATTTCATGGCATTTCAAGCCGTCTAACCTGTTTCACTGTCTTTGAAGTCCACAGTTTCCACGACAACAAAGTCATGCCAGTCCACTTGTGCAAATGCAACTGTGTAAAAAAAAAAAAAAACAAATAAGTACATTGTTGTTTACATTGTAATTTCAGTTACAATCATAAAATAGTCATGTAAATATCATTCAGTGAAATTAATATTAAGCAGATTCCATGCTAAGAGAGCACCCTGATCAGTAAGTCTCCAATTTTTCTTCCCATGCCGTTGGCAAAACAAACCCATATTAAGCACAAACTTCAATTATGGAGACATGACCGAGAATTTCAAGAGTGTCTGTAACATGTAAGTATAGATTTCCCTGTCAAACAAAGTTGTTGCCATGGGCCAATGCAGATGGTACAACATTCCCTGCTTCCTGTTTAATCAATGAATGTTAATGAAGTTTTAAGATGCGACAACAATCACAAGTCAACCACTGACAATGTTAAATGATACCAACAAAGAGATGAGTTTCCAAAGAAACTGCTGTGATGCATCAGCAGGTAAGAGTGAAAAAATCAGTAGCCTACTACTGAATGAGCTTGACATTGACAAAGATGAAATTAATCACTGAAGTAAAATTGGAAAAACTGACTTTTGCAACTTTTATGGAAAGGTCGGCTTTTACGGTCAACCCTAAACTTGATCAAGCGTTTGCTCCATCAAAGGGTTAATGCTCAAAATTTCAGCTTTTCTAAATCTGATAACATAGTGAAAGAAATTCACTCTCATTAACATTTAGTTCATAGTCAACAACATGTATTTGCAAGTCACTGTTATATGTTGAAAATGGATTTTTGCCTGGGACCCTAGCAGCCCATGCAACAANTGAGAAAACGTGTTGTCATTGCAGTTTTGTAGTAGTTCCTGTGCGAGATTGAGTAGAGTGTAACATTAGCATATCCCTGTTTTTTCCAAAATTCGCCATCAGAACGTAGATTAGCTGTGCGCTATCTTCATGGGACCTACAGCTGTAATGTACTAATGCCTTGTACATGTAAAGGCTACCAGGTTGCTTTTCTGGAGCTTGGACAGAAATGAATGCTTACCCAAAAATTGTGGCGGTCCACCAGGCGGGAGCATGGGGGGAGGTGGCGGTAAGTTCATCATGGTCGACAGAGGGGGTGGAGGTGGTACATGCGTTGTGGACATCGAGGTCATGGAGGGAGGGGGCGGGATGGCCGTTGTTGGTGGTCGCTGTGTTTCAGGTTTCTCTTCCTGTGGAACTTTTGGTCCGATTCGTTCTCTCTCTTCCGAAGGCCTGGGAAAAACAGACAAAAGTCAGGTCTTGTCTTGCGTCACTCACTGGTTACGTACTTACTTACTGTACTTGCTGGTTGCGTTACTCACTGGTTGTGCAACGTGGCTGGGTATTAATGAACACAACAGCGGCACATTACTTACGTGAGTCCCTTAGACTTGTGTATGGCCTCGATCTGTTGTTCCAGTGTCACGCCTTGCTGAGCCAAGCGTGACGTGGCAGCCATGGACGCAGTGTGACCATCCCACGTGACCTTCTCTGGTTTGCGGGTGTCTTCTTCACCGATCTTTTTACCGATCACTGTTTCTTCGTCTCCAGCTCCGAAGATATCCGTACGGCGCTCTGCCAACTGCTTCAGACTGCTACCAATGGACATGCCTAAAGAAGACGTAATGAGTTATGGTTCAGATCTCAGACTCCTCTCTAAAGTCATTTACAGTGCACGCACCGTACCATTGCCACCAGTTTTTGAAGAAATTTTGACATATTTTTGACAACTCCTTGCAGGTTTCTATTTGAACCGGGTAATTAACACCTGGGAACCGTCTTGGGCGGAGATGTTGAATTGTCAAATTCATCATTCACTCTCATGGGAATTTCAAAATTCTCAACCTGTGAACGTTCGAAACCAGTGGCAAGTTGTCGCAGTTTGATTGGCTAATTGAAACGGAAGCCATCAGAAGTTATCAAAATGATGTCAAAGAAATAAGAAAACACTTTCCTTTGGCTACCTAGCTCTATAGACTTCAAGGAATTCGAAACTGTTTCAATTTACCTTCAGCAAACACTTGTTCTTGTTCTTTCTTCTCCTGTAACACTCGATCTCGCTGTTCTCTCCATCGTGGATCCAACAGACTGATCTTCATGTGTTCAGCCATGTTTTCAGCAGGCACTCGCTCACCAGTGATTGGTGAGATCAGGAACTTATCAGGTTGGACTTGAGGTGCAGCTGCTTTAGGAGCCTTGGGATCATACCCTCGTCGGATCTGAATATTGGCGCCAGGGGCTGTGGGAGGTAGGGGCGGTTTGGGGCCAGGCTCAGAGGGTATTGGTGGAAGAGGAATCTCATTTGAGTCAGCGCTCTTCTGCAAGATGAAAAGTATGGATACATTACAAAATAGTTCAAAAAATAATTTCACTTCCAGACTCAAAAAACAGCAATAACAAAACAACACCAAAAAATTTTACATCCCTTATTCCTTTTTTACATCTTAACTGTTGAGAGTAGACGTTTTTCAACAATTCATAGAGCTCTACACCTAATGTGAGAAGTGAATGATCCACACTGCACTAGTTAAATCACTAAGCTTCTACAAACTACACTTGACTTACCGCACTTGGATCCTTAGGGGGAGGGGGAGGGGGTGGAGGTTGCAGGACGGGTGGTTCTGGTTCATCGACTTCCATCTCCACATCCATGTTGACTTCCATATCATCAGGAGCAGCTCCTTCGTCCTACGAAACAAATACAAACAACTGACTTGATGACTTGTTTAAATTTTCAATGAGCCAGGTCTTTGAAAAAGAACAGATTTCCAAATTTCCAAATCAAACACCCCGTCTTTCGCAAAGGCTTTGCTTAAGCTTCATTTTGGTTGTTTGTTTGTTATTTCATTTGTGGAAGTTCAGGAATTCAATATACAATCTTGCAATTTTTCCACACAACAGTCCTGTGATTGCTCTAAAAAAGGGTGGGAGACACGATGACCCGGTGGTTACTGCGAAGGATTCCCATGGCAAAGGTACCTTCCTTTCACGTAGGTGTGTAAGTGGGTACCCTTAAAAACTAAAAGTGTGGGGTGACCCCTGTAGTGGACTAGCATCCCAGGGTGAATAGAGATACTACTATTCACTTCATGCTACAGAAACCAGAGATAAGCTTTGGTTCACTTTTCTGTACATCGGAAGTGAATATTACATCAACAAAAATCCTCCTGGTGCACAAAGTACGAACAGGTGAAAGAACACTGCAGGCTGTACTCATGTCTTGACAGATTTTACCATAACGCTAAATAATGTCTTTGACATACCTGAAGTTGTTCATATCGTTCCTGAGCCAATATCCTGGCTCCAAGCTGTTCTCTACTTACTGGGGGAGGTAAGTTAGCTGAAGAAAATGAAAACAAAAACACAATAAAAATGCTGCCAGAAAACAACATGGGCATGGATGGTTGAGAAGGAAGGGAACAATGCCAGGTGAGGGAACTGGAGTGTAGCCAAGCAACAGCAAAGAGGGTAGGTTGCTCAACACATGTGACACCATTTTGCACTATCTGGCACACAGAGAATTAGGGAAGTAAACTCTTTTCTTGACATCCAAAAGCTACTGTAAATAAAAGACCTGATTGTAACTACATGTTATAAGCTGAAACACAACATGTCAATGTACATGTATGCTGGCCACTGAGATGCATTGTCATTCATGCTGAGTCATGCAGCGTACCTCAAGTAATTGTAAAAATTCTGTTTTTTGACTCCAGACAAAACCCTATTTCATGGCATTTCAAGCCGTCTAACCTGTTTCACTGTCTTTGAAGTCCACAGTTTCCACGACAACAAAGTCATGCCAGTCCACTTGTGCAAATGCAACTGTGTAAAAAAAAAAAAAAACAAATAAGTACATTGTTGTTTACATTGTAATTTCAGTTACAATCATAAAATAGTCATGTAAATATCATTCAGTGAAATTAATATTAAGCAGATTCCATGCTAAGAGAGCACCCTGATCAGTAAGTCTCCAATTTTTCTTCCCATGCCGTTGGCAAAACAAACCCATATTAAGCACAAACTTCAATTATGGAGACATGACCGAGAATTTCAAGAGTGTCTGTAACATGTAAGTATAGATTTCCCTGTCAAACAAAGTTGTTGCCATGGGCCAATGCAGATGGTACAACATTCCCTGCTTCCTGTTTAATCAATGAATGTTAATGAAGTTTTAAGATGCGACAACAATCACAAGTCAACCACTGACAATGTTAAATGATACCAACAAAGAGATGAGTTTCCAAAGAAACTGCTGTGATGCATCAGCAGGTAAGAGTGAAAAAATCAGTAGCCTACTACTGAATGAGCTTGACATTGACAAAGATGAAATTAATCACTGAAGTAAAATTGGAAAAACTGACTTTTGCAACTTTTATGGAAAGGTCGGCTTTTACGGTCAACCCTAAACTTGATCAAGCGTTTGCTCCATCAAAGGGTTAATGCTCAAAATTTCAGCTTTTCTAAATCTGATAACATAGTGAAAGAAATTCACTCTCATTAACATTTAGTTCATAGTCAACAACATGTATTTGCAAGTCACTGTTATATGTTGAAAATGGATTTTTGCCTGGGACCCTAGCAGCCCATGCAACAAAAAACCCAAGCAATAAAATGGTTATGTCAAAATCAGTCATTACAATAACAGTGTTACAAGAAAATCGAAAAAGAACCAAAAGAAAATAAATGCAGTTGAGTCAATCTACATGTCAATATTTCCACATTAGTTTCATTATTACATTGTGTGGATGGATACTCAAAGCATACATGCAAGGGCCAGCTACATGGCAAAAACCAACCTCTTTCCTTTTCTTTTTCATCTTCCAATTTCTTCTTCTCTCTTTCCTGGTGTCTAATCCACTCCACACGATACATCACACGATCCAGAATCTGGAAAGTTTGTAAAGTTGCTCAATTAACTGAAGCAACTACCAGAAAACCTTGCAGATACATGTATAAAGCAATACCTTTTCAGGGCCGTCATTAAGTTTTGAGTCACTTGTAGCCTTGTTCTCCACACCCATAGCAAACATGTTACGTTGTGCCTGAATTCTATCAACAACAGGCAATTTCACCAGTAGCACCAAGGGAAAATCAAGCATACACTATACTCGGCCGCAACAGGTGTTGCCAGTTACAACAACCCTGCTTTTACCCTAAACATCTTTGTTTGTTTTTTTCATTGAACATGCAGCTTTTCTGCAAGAGCTTACATGTTTACCCTGTGAGACAGAGATTCTCTTCTCTCTCTGCTCAGTGACAGACAAGGGGAAGCCTCTGCTTATAACCCCTTTATTCTTATCATGCATCCACAAACTGAATCAGCATGTTGACCCCTGCATGGTGGTTAACAAAGAAATACCACTGCTTAAATTAACTCAAACTCATTCCTCGAGTCTTCAGTCCATACTGTGCAAGCTTGACAAAACAATTGACTCTCAAGGGCTCCATTACTGGCTAGATTTTAATTTGTTTTAAAAACAATTGAAATGGGTGGAAGTAAAACATTTGCATCTCAATTGAGCCATACAGTATGTTTGCCACTCAGCAAAGCATGCACAATTCAACTGGGAGTCGCATATTTTCGGACTTCAAACCAGATCTTTCCCCGGTTGCTCATTTCCCGAGCGCTGGTCAAGGGGAACGAAGACACTGGGTACAAGGTTGAAATTAACTGANTATGTCAAAATCAGTCATTACAATAACAGTGTTACAAGAAAATCGAAAAAGAACCAAAAGAAAATAAATGTAGTTGAGTCAATCTACAGCTGTACATGTCAACATTTCCACATTAGTTTCATTCTTACATTGTGTGGATGGATACTCAAAGCATACATGTAAGGTCCAGCTACATGGCAAAAACCAACCTCTTTCCTTTTCTTTTTCATCTTCCAATTTCTTCTTCTCTCTTTCCTGGTGTCTAATCCACTCCACACGATACATCACACGATCCAGAATCTGGAAAGTTTGCAAAGTTGCTCACTTAACTGAAGCAACTACCAGAAAACCTTGCAGATACATGCATAAAGCAATACCTTTTCAGGACTGTCATTAAGTTTTGAGTCACCTGTAGCCTCGTTCTCCACACCCATAGCAAACATGTTACTTTGTGGCTGAATTCTATCAACAACAGGCAATTTCACCCATAGCACCAAGGGAAAATCAAGCATACACTGTACTCGGCCGCAACAGGTGTTGCAGGTTACGACAACCCTGCTTTTACCCTAAACATCTTTGTTTGTTTTTTTCATTGAAGGTGCAGCTTTTCTGTAAGAGCTTACATGTTTACCCTGTGAGACAGAGATTCCCTTCTCTCTCTGCTCAGTGAGAGACAAGGGGAAGCCTCTGTTTATAACCCCTTTATTCTTATCATACATCCACAAACTAAATCAGCATGTTGACCCCTGCATGGTGGTGAAAGAAATACCACTGCTCAAATTAACTCAAACTCATTCCTTGAGTCTTCAGTCCATACTGCGCAAGTTTGACATAACAATTGACTCTCGAGGGCTCCATCACAGGCGAGATTTTAATTTGTTTTAAAAACAATTGAAATGGGCGGAAGTAAAACATTTGCATCTCAATTGAGCCATATGTTTGTCACTAAGCAAATTCAACTGGGAGTAGGCTATTTTTGGACTTCAAACCAGATCTTTCCCCGGTCGCTCAATTCCCGAACGCTGGTCAAGGGGAACGAAGACGCTGGGTACAAGGTTGAAATTGACTGAAAAAGTTGTCGGGTGCAAAAGTATAAGAAAGTCAAAGTCTGCCATATGGTACAGAGATCCACTTCAAGTTTACACGCATATGTGCTGGTACACTACCTCTTTGGGTTTGTATGCATCTTTTTGTAACTTCTCTTTCACATCACTTGGTGGAATCAAGACCTGATGAGAGGAAAATTAACATTACTACACCACCCTTCTCACAAGCACATGTAGGTTTCAACTCCATAAACTTAACAGAGACCATGCAAAGAAGGCAGTACTTGATTTCTGCACCCCCAAAAAATGCTACTGACCCAAAAAAACAACCTAGCTTTCAATCTAACATAAAACAAGCAAATCATATNACAAATGCACACAGTTATGCTACTCACTATCAACAACAGAGTCCATGTAGGTAGTGAGGAGTATAGCCAGTAAGAGAATGGCATTTGTGATAGAGCGACAGAAGATTTATACTAAAACTCATTAGAAACAAAGAGAATTGATTTCTGACTATTTCCTTTAGAAAGCACTGTGAGGAAAAGAAAAGATACATGCTTATGAAGTTCTTCGTTTTAATCAAACTAAAGCTTTGACCACCCTCTTTCTTGCGGGGTGTTTTCTTTACAGTGTACCAATTTATCTTTTCAACAAAACTGAAGCACATGCATAAAAGCACATACAGATCTAATGCTGAGATAGTTGGTGGATCAGCCAGAAATTCAAACTCAGGAGGTGGTTCCTTAGGTACTGGTGGTTCAACAATAGCCACTGGAGTCTGCTGCATAAGAGGCTTGGGCTGAAAACAAATGACATGGAATAAAGAAGTGATTAATCTACATGAACGTGCAGACAGGTCACAAAAATAAAGAAATGGTTAAGGCATTATTACTGTTCAGAAAGACAAAAAGATACCACAGGCTTTCCTTCCAAAACTATTTATCCGTCGAAGATAGTAGACCAGCTGTTGAAAGCTTATGTTTTTCAGCACTTTTTACCAGAGAACGCTAATCCTATATTGTTCGTATTGTGAAGTACCTCGGGTAGAATCTAACCGCCAAGAATGCTTTACATTGACTTAGATAGGAAAGATGCAATTTTTGTCATAGTACCACGTTAAGTCATTTTCACAAACATACATTTTGTATGTGTCACTGCTTACTAAACTACAGTGCATAATTACCTTTTGGGGAACAGGAGTGGCTGGGGCAAGCTCTTGCTCTGATAAAAAAAAAATATGATACAAAATTATACAAAGTATATCAACAGAAAGTTAGCCACAACATGCAATCTGTGCGTGTGACAGGATATCAAATCACAACAGCAATAAATGTTCAAAAGTCCAGATTTTCCCTCCACATTGCCAGAACAAGTTCCCACTTTCCACATGTAATAAAGAACAGTGCCTTTTACCTACATGTAAATCGCAGCTTTCAAAAATCCTTTGAAAACATACACTTGTATCTACACTGTATATATTAATGTACAGTTATACTTACCTCTTCCATCCTGTTCTTTAATATCTAAGACTTTTTGTTGGAAGTACGCATGGTAGGGATCTCCAGGATTCAGGAAATTAAACTTGGGGTTGTTAATTTCATTCTGCCTGATTCGTGATTCAAACTCAGGACCTAAAATACAACACACATGATATGTTTATAGATGAAAGATGTGTACGCAACAATCAGAAAACAGTCAAAGGTTTACAGTCAATGTACACTAAAACATGCTTGGGGTATGTAGTGACCTAATGGTTACTTCATCAGATTCTGGATTGAGCGGTCTGAGATTATGCCTCAGATGGGGTTATAGTCTTGCAGTCTCTCATGAAGGTGTCTAGGTGGATCCTGTCAAACCAATGCTGAGGGTAACCTTGCCAAAGACTAACATCCCATTCAGGGAGAAATAGAAATACATGTACTTCTAAACGCTTTATATGCTACAGAAACTGGAGATTAGCGACAGCCTGATGGCTACTAGGCTTCAACACAGACTTAACCCTTCTATTCATTTTACCCTTCATTATACATGTATAGCATTGTTTTCTATCATATTTGTAGCTGGATGATCTGTTAATTTGTCCTCAGGCAACCATGTTGTTAATTTCACAAACAAATGATTGCCCTAAAACGTTCGTACATGGAGTACGCATCAAAAAGAGAGTTAACTGAGTGTTACAGGCATGAATAACTAGCAGTGTTTGGATGCATGCCTTCTGGGAAATTTTCATTTTCAGGGGCTTGTAAATTCCATTTCCCTTGTTTTCCAGGGACATTCTCATAAATCAATTCATCAAAAAATAAGAAGTAGAATTGATGGTAGGTTTCATAGGAGAGACTAGAGACTATCGAACCAGCCAATTTAATTATTAAAGATTCTTTCCACCAATAATTATATAAATATTTTTTTGTCTGGATTTGTGGAAGTAAGCACATGCATAAATGTGCATACATGTAAGGACGCTTTGTCCCTGCCTCAGACAACTGGATGAATGCTAATGTTTTGATATGTATCAAAATTGCACTTTGTTACCTTTACAAAAATTATTTTCATTAACGAATTAGAATACAAATACTTTCTAACTCAAGAAAATTAAGGAGAATTCAACAAACTGTTTATGCATGTGTAAAATGCCCTTGTCTGTGGCTTGGGTTTACATAAACTTTCAAATTTTCCCAAAAATTTCTCCTCTACATCAGGTTACATGAGTGTATAGTCACGTGCCATTTTCTACTTCTCAAATAGCGTAAATAAGATAATTCACTTACCATTTCTAGCAACAAAGCTTGCAGTCTTGTCAACAATATCTGAACATACAGTTAAGGACACAAGAATTGCTGCTCACAAATACATTTGTAGTTACATGTAGATCTGCAGTGCATTCTTGTATAAGTTCTGATCGACATAAATACATTGATTTACGTGTACAACTGGCAGCAACTTTCTTTCTCTATCAACTCAACAAATTGTCACTGAGTTTTAAAAACACAAACTGCCGCCAACACTAGCAAGTGTCATGCTCGAGAAAAAACGTAATTCATGTAGGTCTCATAGAATATTATTCAACTAATTCAAGCCGATTTTTCTGAAGCATTAAACTACTTCTTAACATAAGTTTACTGTTAACTGCACTTAGGTAGATATTATGTGGAGATAACACTCTCTTCACACGTCCGATTTACCACAATATTTCAACGTGGTTTTGTTCACTTTGTAGGAACTCACGGTTCACAGGACAGCATGATGTCCCTTTTTATCCCAAAAAATTCAACCATCTCACTGCACACACTGCATTCTCTGACGACATAATCGTACCATGAATCAGAGAAGATACTTCTCACCTCCGGTGGAGGGTAAATGACTCCAATCGCAGGCATGTTGCTCTCGAGCACAGCAAGCGAACGTTCAGCTTCGTTCCTTTCCTTCACGCGGCGGCCATCTTAAGCATGGTATCGAGGCGAATCATGGAAGCGTAGTAAATGATATCGAGGCTACAAATACTGACCCGAACTTCTCCGATATGGTAGCGAATATTTACCGATGAAAAACGAAGATGGCCGATGCGAGCTTTGCCTGTTCTGAAATTCACATGTATAGTTTGAAAAAAGCAATTTATTCTAAGAAACAATAATACTAAATGAGATAATTTGCCAAAAATGTCACAGCGAAAGACTGGCCGGTTTCTAACGGAAAGGCAAAAAATCGGATCGGAGGTATATCAGAAAACAGTCAATACAAGGTAAAGACAACACAAATAACAAAACTTCCGCTGTTTCGCGTTCAAACAAATTTCATGTGTAATTAAACAGAGACGGCCGCACATTTTCAATTACTACGTTCTCTTCAGTGGAGTAATTTGCACTGAGCTGAGATAGAAAGCGAGTATGAGTACTTTGAGAGAGATGTAATTGCCGAATGATTCTGTCCCCGGGATTCTGTAAGCAAATCCGCCAGGTGTTTTTACGGCCTTTACTGTTAAAAGCTTTTCAAGATGTTTCGTTTACTGATCTTATCAGTGTCGATACCAAAAATAGACTTGCAAATACTGACCATCTGATGATTACACCGCGTTCTCTCATTTTATTTCATTTTATTTTTTTATTATTATTTTTTTGTTTTTGGCAAACATACACACAGCAGGGCTGGAGCAATTATTCATATTGGTAGGTTTATCAAAACTGTTGAAAATTCAGAAAATTTAAGTTGTTTATTTGTTTCGTTTGAACTATAATTTAAGGTTATAGAAAATATTCGTTCGCGAGCGTGCTGCCGTCCTAGTCTTATCTGATGTTTTCTACATGCGATAGGAAAGATTGGTTGCACTGATACCAATTAAGCAGATAGTTGATTGTTTTCTGATATCTTAATAATGCGATTTTTTAGTTCAAAATTAAAGTGATGCCTTCCGTAGTAGAGATTCGTAATTTTCAATCATGCTAAAGCAAAAAAATATGTTTGACAGTCATTTCTTTAATATTGTCTAATAGGATCTCCCGCAATGAAAACGTTAGACAAATTTACGTTATCAACCGCACAAAGTGCATTTTTTTTACTGTTTGTAAACATCAATACCGGCCTTCAACCGCTGACTGGAAAGTAACGCGCGCATGAATAGGCGTTAACGATATTAGCCAATGAAATGAAAGGAAACTTTGTCGCCCTCTTTATACGCAATACAACAGGTGAAACGCTTCCTTTTGACACATACTGCAGTTAACCTCACAGCAAGCCTTCAAATACCCGTAACACCTCACGTATCGGCCCTGGCGGGCTTGTACCGTGACAAGCACTTACTAATTGTACTAACTGCATGCAAGGGAAATGATGATCGCAAACTTTGGTGAGTAGAAGTTTGAAAACTTGAACGATTTCAATCAATTTGTTTCTTCCATATGTGTACGGCTAAACGCTTTTATGTAGCAGATACAGCTGCGCAAATAACTACAAATTAAAGCTAAGCGAATCACGAATTAAAATTTCAATATTGACGCTAGAATCACGAAAACGTAGCAATGGTTAAATAGTTATTCCATCCTTTGATTTTAAGGCAATCAAAGTTAACGTTAAATCGAAGATTGAAGCGACAGTGTTTGAAAGCGGCGAGTGGCTTTACGAAAATTAGAACACAGCAAGAAACTTATCTTCCCGGTCCGAGAAACAACTAAAATATTTATGCGCATCGTACAATTGGAAAATACAGATATGGTCTAAAGAGTGAAGTCCACAAATCTTTTTTGTTTCTCAACTCACGCCAAATACTGCAGTGCTTTCATCTACAGTTGGAGAGAGTTTTCAAGAAGTCTAGCTACTCGAAAGATAGTAAAAACACACTAACAGGTTATGTTTTGTTAGCCGGTAACACATCGCAGTTCTAAAGCTGACAAACACCACCTTTTGTTTTAAAACTAATCGTCTAAAGGAACTGATAATCTGGTTTGATAAAATATCTCAGGCAAGCGACATGTTAGTGCTTGCTAATAGAAAGCTGCCAGAGGATCACAATTTCTCCTTCTTGTTGGGAACAAAGGTATTTTTTGGCAACGACTAAAATTCAGATGGAGCGTAAACCAGCCTTTTCAATTTTTTTTTTCTTTTTTGACATCCTTTCAGATTAGCCAAAAATAATTAACCATTCAACTTGACACAGTAAGTTTCATTCATCCACCCTGGGAGAAGAATGCGCCATTGTCGTCGCTAATTGTGGAACGAAAATTTACACTCTCACGAAAATTTACACCCTGACGAAATCCCAGAAAATGGTTCGACGAGAGAATGAACTATCTCAAGACATTGTGGAAAACTGCGTGATGGAATTTTTCTAACGGTCCTTCATTTAGCGTGTTTTCTTTCTCTGAAAACAGTTCGTGAGTTGTTTCTAGATAACGGATGACTGCTTTTGAATAGGACCCGCTGAAAGTTATAAACAACCCACACGCAAACATCGGTCATCTTGTCAAACAACGAGAATTATTCAGCGCTTATGATCCCTGTGGGCGCTAATAGGTCTTACTCCTCTTTACGTTGAATCGAAGCTGTTTTTATATCGGGCTTTCTGAAAACTGACCGAAAGTTGAAAATTGTAGTTTCGAGTTTACTAACCGTTCCTCTGTGAAATATTCCAAAATGTTTCCTTGAAAACTGCCTTGAGGCAAACGCATTTTAATGGCCTCGCGTTTCAAATTTGTTTGCTTAATCGTAAACGCACGAATTCAATCAAAAAACCCCGCTGAGTGCGATGTGTAGTCAGCAGCGAATACCATCTAACAAAAACGCGTAATCCATCACGGTATCAGATAAACCATTGTACTACACCGGCTTTCCTTTGAAGACGAACATTAATATTTCATATTAACAATGTTTTGTCGTGACCCGTTAAAGAACTAAAGTCGTGAAAACAAAGATAGTTATGGGGGATCTTGAGTTTTACCAATTGTGTCTGATCGGCGACCTCGTTCTCACCGAAGACCGTAAACGCGAGGGCTCTGGGGACGAATATAGTCATCTGTTAAAAATAGTTTTAACGGTGACGTTAAGCACTGCACTTGGCAATGCTTCATGGGGAAACCTGATTACAAATTTGCACAAAACCCTGAATTTTCAAAGTTTTAGATCTTTGACTCGTCAAATGTAGGATGTATACAAAGCTTTTCGTGTGAAGTTTATATGAAATAATTCATATATGAACTGCGGTTGTAGATGAAAGTGAAGAATGATCATCGCAGTTAATTTTCCAATTTAAGCAATTGGAAAGAAGAAGCCGTGTTACACAAATTTTCCGAAGTTTCCTGTGCGTGTAACTGTACGTACACTGTAGACATGACTCCTTATTTAAGTGAAATCTAGACGACATCCACACATATTACACCACATCTAAACCAAGAGAACACGAATTCGCTGCATAAGAAAAAATTTTGACTCCAAGTTGCAATGAAACACTGTTTATCCTCCGAAGGGGTTACAAAATCCTGTGTAAAATCCGTTAATTCAGCGATATAAAGCAAGCCAAGCTATAGAGTGCGTTTCTTTGGGAACTGAATCCAGGATTGGATTCTAGGATCCAAAAAAGCAATTGCGTTTGTTTTCTAAACAGATTAATTAATCCAAGATAAATTATTATGACTCGGATCATGATGGTGCACCATGATCCGAGTGATCTTGCCGATTATTCTATTTAGAAAAGAAACTGAGACGCAGAATCCGTTTTTTGGGATTTGAGAATAGTCTCTCCACAGGCCCTCTGATCTCGAAGAAAAAGCCTCTTAGCAAAAAAATAAACTTCTGTGGAACAGAAACACTCCCCTTTGTTTCGGCTTGCTTGATTCAATATCAAGTCTATACGCACGAAAATATGATCAGATCATATTCTCTTGGTCTACGGCATCAATTTTTTTATATATACACAAACCCTGCATGTAATAACCACATCTTCAAATGAAAGTTACATACACCACTATGGAGTCTTCTAATATACGTCATGTCGTTAACGTTTTAGCTTTTCGCTTTTCTGTTTGTTTCAGCTTTGTTTAACCATTCAACCAAACAACCAGCACCATCAGCCTTTCTGTACCTGGCTTAGGATCTAGTCCTACAAGACTTCCTTCGCAAGCTTGGGACCTGGAGAAGACACCGCCTGAGTAGTATGACAAACTCAGAGAATACTGTGTGACATCAGGAACCTTCCAGCTGTATTTCATCAAAGTGGACTCCACAAGCATTCTCGTCCATCTGCCAACCAGCTTGAGATCTTCAGACGCATCAAAATGTTTCTTACTTGGCCTAACTACAGTCTTAAGCACTGATTCAGTGGCTTGATTGGACAAAAATCAAGAAGCTTTGTTAGTAATCATCTACCAAGTCAATGGAGACTTCATAGAGACGAGTTCTGAAAATCTACCTCAGTTTATCAACACTATTGGAAAAATTGGATCCAGCTACGACGTATAAGATCACCGTGAATTTGAAATACTTTGTTATGAAAAACCATACATACATTTCTCATATATTGTAAATGAAAATTGTGTTAGAACTGTTTTTCTTCGCTGTTGGCCTGTATTAGGATATATTTTCCTTGCAATTAACCCCGTACAGTAACCAGCTTGCACCTGAAGATAACCAGTGAGCACATATTATTTCTGACGTCACCGACTAATATCTAACATACTTACCAATGTGATTTGAAAATAACCCATCACCTGATGTGCTAACTGAATAATATCAAACACGCTAAGTCGTTATAATTTGCCTTCATATAAGTTGTCCATTCAGTAGTATAGCCAAAAAAACCTTTATTGCAGCTTTTCCAAGAAAATAGCCCTTAAAAATAACGTTGTCACAACCAACACAAAAAGAAAGTCCCAAGTCTAGTCGTAACAATTTTTTTTCAGAAAACTAGTTTGTTCACTGAGAATGAAAATTATCTAATTTGTGTTCACTTGAGTAACGAAGATATTTGTCCTTGCAAACTTAGCTTACCGTAATCATTTATCTATTATCAAGTAATATATTTATTTACTAACAAACAATCTACATTCACTTATTCTTATTAATATACTCGGACAGGTTATACAATATCTAACCAGCTAACTTACTCTGATACGCAACACTAACCCACTAACTTGCTTATTTCAGTCTTCACTTTCAGCTAACCAACTGACAGCTGACATCATGCACTTGATCGAGATAGCACCCACTGATTAAAGTGCCTGTCACCCTTGACAAATCTCTACATAACCGGACCCAGACAACAAAGAAACTAACAACTAACATCCGCTCACTCAGTAACTAACAAATCTCTCGCCAGCAACTAAAATGATCATTTTTAAAATCACTTCCGTCCTAACTAACCAACTAACTTACTCACCAAATTCCTAATTAACAAATTTACATAACGTTAAGTTTTTCAGTAACTGAAAATAACTAACCAAGTAACAAACTAACCAGCTAACTAACTAACATCTTACTTGTTAAGTAACTAATCAACACAGAAATTAATTAGCAAAATAAGCAACTTACTTTGTTACTTACAAGTTAACCAACTTTCTAACACAGTCGTCGGAAACTTTGAGGTCTAGTTTGCATTAACTGACTGATCAACCAACTAACTAATCAATTAACATCTTACTCATTTACTAACTAATCAGCTCGCAAATTAATGAGCAAACGAGCTTAACCATTTAACTTACTGAAAGTGATATTATCAAAAATAGATAATTCACCAGTTCTGAAGAGCTATTACTGTAACGAACACTCTCAGTGGCTCACGAAAACTAATAACACTACTCTCTAATTAACAAAACACTTAGTATTGAAGACCAAGAGAATTGGTTCTTGCAAAACTGTTTTGCTCCAGTAAAACGCCGAACTAACTAACTAGTAAAGCAACCAAAAAAACGAACTAATAAACTAACTCAGTCAGGATTAACTAACTTCTTGACTAACTAATGGACTAACTTACCAGCTTTACTAACAGGCCAGCTAACTGACTAATGCGCTACTGACGTACTAACGTACTAACTGACCTACCAACGAAGCAAGCAATGAAATAAACTAATTACGACTAACACACTTACTAACGAAATTAACAAACTAACAAACATTGTGAAGCCCGGCATGTCTTACTGAAACAACTAACTGAACATACTAACCTGTTGATCTTGTTCTTAAGCCACAAGAAAAGTCCACAAGAATAACTAACCAACCTACTAACCAACAACCTAACTTACTAATTATATAGCGAGCTAACTAACCAATCGGTTGCTAACAAAAAAGTCGAGTTCATTTTGATAACTACCATGTTCCTATTTCACCTTTAATCCATTTGCTTTCATTGCTGTTAATTTGTCTCATCTATATGTCTAACCGACTGATCCTTTAACCAAACCATCGTACTAACCCAGTTTAATTTCACACTTTGTAGCTCTCAGTAATACTGTTTAGTACTTCGGAAATGCCAAGCAACACTGTTAAATTGTTATTCTGCGAATTCAAGTTATCATGTTTTTTTAACTGTATTTTCAGCACTTTCCTCCCTATTTTGAGAGTTTAAATAACCAACAATTAATGTTATTCTTTGAAGATCTGTGTCATGGAAGACAGCTAAATAAAGGGAACATTAATAATTGGTTCAATGCCAGCAGTAACCATTATAAACTCATTATCAGATCAATACAGGTTTGTACCGGTTTGTCCTGATAATAAAACTGTAAGACGTCCCGACCGGGGAGCGATTGGATGCCTTCCCGGAATGCCTTGCAGTCGGCTTCCTCCAAAGCGACGACCGCCACACTTAGGTGAACGGTCACTGAGCCTCGCACCACTGAAAGGACTCGGATTTCCATGTGTCCAAGAGCGATTCAATTATCACGCCCAGCGGGATAGATGGGTTATTTTGAACGCCTGGGATTATCCACTGTTTTTCCCACGGAAAAAGAGTTCCTTATCCCATGTAATAAATTTATTAACCAGGTCCCTTGAACCTTGTTTTCTCAAGACGATCTGATGTTGGCCTCGTTCTTGTTTGCGTTTCGTTATGGACTGAGACGCAATAGAGGTCAATAAACAAGCAAAAAAAGAACTTAGTCAATATCCAGCTTTATTACATGCGGGCAAGATAAAGCGGGCAAAAGTAACGGCTATCTTGCCCGCTCGGGGCTACCCGCCGTGTCCCGCAAGAGAAATTTCCCTGGAAGCCATGTAATAAATTCTTTATTGACCAACCTTGTTCGGTGGCCTCATGGTTAGTGCGCTCGTCTTCGGATCGAGCG